ATATATATATATATATATATATATATATATATATATATATATATATATATATATATAGTTGGGTTCATGTGAGACCAGTCTGTTTTGATGAGACCCGTGAGATGACTTTTTTACACTTGAAATTTCACAACAAAACGTTGTGAAGGTAAAAAGAAGTCGAACATTCACAACAAAAACACTGTGAAAGTTACCCTTACAACGTTTTGCTGAGAAGTTTCAAGCGTAAAAAAGTGGTCTCACGGGTCTCACGAAAACAAGCTGGTCTCACATGATCACAAGTGTGTGTGTGTGTGTATATATATATATATATATATATATATATATATATTAAAGGGCAAATTGCATGAAAAAGTAACGTACTTTAACTTGATTCATATTTTGGGTAACGTACTTTCAAGACTTCCATTTTAATACCTAAGATGTAAAGTTTTAAACATTTAAATATCCGGGCAACTGGTTGAACCATTAACCGGTTATCATGTTGATGTAGCGAGTGATATGATATTCAACTCAGTAATATTTGATGACGTAGTTAGTGACATGATTTTTTTAATCTAAAATTAGTCTTCAACCTGTTACCAAAGTACCTAAATGTGTAAAACTTTATATCTTAGGTACCAAAATGAAAGTTCTGAAAGTATGTTAACAAAAATAGAAATCAAGTTAAAGTACATTACTTTTTCATTATCTATTTTTTTCTCTACTCTAGAGAAAAGTATATAACATATGTTGGAGCAATTTTTTCCCAAATTTTCAAAATTTCTAAAATAACAGAGTTATTGAAGATGTTTTTACAGGAATACAATAATGTTTTTCTTTTTAATTTTAATAAATAAAAATAATAAAAATTAGAAAATGTAATTATTGAGAGATGTAAATTAAAAGCTCAAAATAATTATACCGAAATGTAGGAGTAATTATGCCTTTTCATTTATTGATTAAACAATAAATTAACAATAATAATTGGGGTAATTAAGGTTTTTGTAAAGCAGCACCTTTTTAATTTATTGATGCCTTGACTTGACGGCACAAATGTGGGCCCCTTATTTATTCTTATTGGGCCGATCTAGTCTTTTGGGCTGGGCTTATGACCCAATTGACTTCCGGTATTTAAGGGTAGTGATGGCCAAAAACCGGTCTCGGACCGGGCCTAATCGGTCCCGGCCAAAAATGATAGAACCGGTCAAGGTACTTCATAACCGGTTATGGGCCGTCGGTCCCGGTCCCGACATTAAAAAATAAGATTTTTTTAATGATATATTTTTAATACATTATAAAATTTACAATTGGGTCACTCAAATACACTTTAAATATGCGTTTTAATATAATTAAAATTACATTGTCTTATAAAAATACATTTATTTATAAAATTATTTGAATTTTAGGGCCGGTCCATATCCGGTCCTATAACTGGTCTCGGTCCCGGTCCCACGAAACTACCAAAAACCCCAACCGGTCCCAGTTTTCGGTCCCATAACCGGTCTTTACCGGCCGGGCAGGGCCGAGCCGATTTGCCCATCACTATTTAAGGGTAAATTCCTATTTTCGTCCTTGTGGTTTGTTTAAGATAACGAATTTTATGTTTGTACTCTTAAAATTACTCTTTTGGTCCTTTTGAGTTTGGAATTTATTGTTGTTTTTCAATTAATTATTTAATTACAATTGCAGTAAACTACAAGGTCCAACAGCTACAAGATCAACAATTCCATAAGCTAGGGCCTCTGTTACTGACATAAAAACATCTCTTTCCATGTCTTTGAATACAACCTATAAGGGTTTGCCCTGCTTATCATCGTCAACATAACCATTAAAAAAATCATTAAAAAAGCGCATTTATCATATCGCGTGCATCTTCCAGCAATCTTGGGAGGCCCTTGTTGAATCACCAAATATTCCTATTTTCAATTAGACCAATGAAATCCATTGTCCATGTGGTTTTGTCAAAAAGTAATAACTTTCGTTCTTGCAGTTTTGAAATTACAAGATGGTCATTGTAGTTTGTAAAAACGTCCGGATTTGATATCTTCTTCTAATGTCTGTTAAAATACTTTGCTAAGTGAGGGGTATTTTGTCCGGTTTTTCCCCCTTTTACCCAATTAAAAACCTAGGGACCAAAATCATAAAATCGATTTTGATTGGATAAAAGTAAGGTTCTAAATGACATGAGACGTGACGTGACATCGACGTCAAGGTTTAAGCCTTACAAGTTACACCGAGGCCATGACATTTTTCAAGGTGTTCCCTAAGTTGTTTCATGTATTTTTCTAAAATCAATATAATGAAGATGATAATATCTATAATTAACACTCTTCACAATAAAAATGATTAATCAAGCTCTTATAATTACAAAAAAGAAAGAAAAATTATGATTAGTTGAATGAGATTTGCACGGTTTGTATAAATAACGTGGTTTGCAAAGTAAACTTTCCCTATATACACATGCACCTACTATTGTATGTTTTAGTTGTTAAGTTCACTTTTTAAGTTTATTTAGTGACTAGATCTCATATATATCATTTATCGTTCAAGTTATATATGGAAGTTGACTCACATTTTGCAAAATAAATTGTAAATCATATAAACTACAAAGCTGAAAACCATAATTTCAAAAATAAAAGGACGAAAATAGCAATTTTAACAAACTACAGGGACTAAAAAGGTAGTTTACTCTTATTTCAAAAGAAATTCCTAAATTCATTCTACACTCTTCAATTTCAATTGCAAGTGTTTGAAACCCAATATCTGAGATACTAAGAAAATTATTGAATCGCTGAAGCCGTTAGTATCTACAATGCCCCTGGTACGTTCAAGCTTCCATTAATTTGATCAAATGCTTTTATTCCTTTCATTTTGTGATAAAAAGTTGATTCAGTATGGGTTGAATTAAGGGGTTACTTACCTGTAAGTGTTTATCAAGTCATGTTACCTTATCAGATGAATATGATAAGGACCAAGATTCTTACCGGTAAGAGTGAGACAAGGACCATGTGTCTTACCCGGTAAGTGAGGACGACGATTCTTACTAGGGTAAGCGCTTGCCGGGTAAATTGTTTCATATAAAGTCGTTTTGATAGACTAAAATCTTACCCTGTAAGTAAATAATAGTGTTAAAAGTTTACCGGTAAGCACTTACCGGATGAGTGTTTGATAAACGACCCCTAAGTTCAGTATTTCGCTGGAATTGAATGGTATTGATAACACCTGGTAACCCTTCAATGTACACACAAGTAATCTCCAAGCAATTTATATGGTATTACACATGTGCATAAAAACCAAAAAAATAGCTTCAATTACTTGCATACACATACACATGTACATACCATCCATGTGAGGGGTCTGCATACATTTTTTGTTTTGTGCAATTAAGTAGAAACATAATAAACCTGAAATTAAAAGCTAAAAACTAAGAAAATGATTGAAACGAGATTTGAACCCGCACCTAGGATGGGAGAAAAGTCGTCCAAACAAACTCTGCCAAGACAAATTTGTGTTGTTATTGTAGTTTCAATATACATACGGTTGCACATTTCACGAGCCTAATTTTTTTTAGCTTACGACAGAGGAACGTAGCGGTGGCATGTGCCATCATATCTAATGAACTGGGTCCCCTCCTATGTGCAGACCTGACTTTTACCTCAAAGAGTACAACATCTAAGACCGACTTTTGTGGAGTTTTTTCTGCAAACAAAAGATGCTCATATGATTCATCTTCGGGAGACAATCACGTCTTATTTTGTGCATTTTATGTCATTAACTTGTAGCATATCGTCATTCGTGTTAACAAATTTGCGTAGTTGGGCCTGTTTAGCTGCACAATTCTAAAGCCAATTTGCACATCATGTTAATTGTGCATATTTTTCTCTTGCACACTTTTTATCAGTGGGGTCTTCACATTACAACCACTTTATTTCGTTGGAACATAAGTCAGGTCTACGTACATCCTACCCCCACCCACCCCGGATGGGATATAGTGGGATAGTTTGGTTTGGCTGATTGTGCATATGTTTGCATGTTTCTGTTGCAATGAAAGCTTTTAGTCAGTAAATTATCGGCCTTCTAGATAAATCTTTTCATTTATCCTCCTAGGGCCTGTTTGTTAGCAGCTTAACGAGCTTAATGGTACTCGCAACTTATTCGGTCAGCTATACGTGACTGCTTGGTAGTGGCTTAATGATGTAGAAAGTGGCTTATTCAGTAAGCTTCTAAGGGGAAGCTTTATGCAGAAAGCCAAGTTTTTTTTTCCCAAACCTTCCCCTCTCAATTAAAAAACACACTCATTTTATCTATGAAATAACTCTCACAAACAAAAACCTTTCCAATCTATACAGACATATTAATCCATACAGACAGCTTAAACCAAGCAAAGAGTGCATACCCATATCATAAGAAGCTGAGAGAAGCAAAAGGAAATTCTAATTTGTACACAAAACTAGTTAAATTTGTATTATATAGTATATATGCATTTAAAGTTACAATTTTACCTCAAAGTAGATACATGCTTTCACTAGTTAATCGATAAATTATCGTACTTCTAAAACCAGAAACAATAAGAATAAGAAAATAGAGGGATTACCCGACTTCTAGAGGAGAAATAATTGCCTACAATGCCTTTCTGGCCCGTCTTGCAGACTGGTTACCTTAGCATTCACGATTTCACTAATCAAGTCTTTAAAAATAAGACGTTCTATATCTAACACCAGAGCTGGAACCTCGTTACAGTTATCGTCCCAATCTTCTGACCTTTTATTCACATCTGAAGATATGATGTTTAGTATTTCATCATATAGGCCACCGGCTGTGTCTGTTTGTAGATTATTTATTTCTGAACACACTTCTTTCAGTAGCTTATCGCCATTCAGAATTCCCGCTTTCCTTTTGCTTGTCCATAGCCCAGAAGAAGCTGATCTGGCTAACTTTTCGACAAGAATATTGTTAACCGTATCAAATATCATTTTCCTTCTGATTTTCTCAGAGGATGCGTTCTTTTTGTTGTATCCATCTTCTGTGAGCTTGGTGATTTCTTTGGTTTTCTCCAAGATGTTGAACAACTCAGGGTTGATCAAGGTGCCGTTGGTTGGATGAAGGTGGACTATTGTGGTGGCACAGTCAAGATTTTTTAGAAAACCCGAGGCTAACAGAATCTGTTTGATGTATTCGTGGTCTTGGTTGATGATGATATCATGTGGGAAAAACTCAGAGTGATCGATAGTTGCTTCTTCTTCAGTGTTGGAGTTTAGTAATTTGATTTGATGAACAAGGTGCTTTATGTTTTCTATTTTCAGATGGTTGAACCCGGAAGAGGATTGATCTAGTTCTGTGCTGCTCACGAAGTTATCAATCCCGACTTGATTCCATTCTGGTTCATCAAAGCGTAAATCCTCATCATCTGAGAAGAGAAAGATTCAAACCGGTTGATCAGTAAGAATCATTAAAGGTGCTAGAAAAGATAATTATTTCTCTCTTTTTTTTTCTGATGCTTAGTATATGGCTAGAATCACATGAAGTTTGAATGATTTGTTGCTTTTTGTAGTTTGTTAGCAGCTTAATGAGCTTGATAGGCTAACAACTTATTCAGTCAGCTATACATGATTGTTTGTTAGTGGCTTAATGATATAGAAACTGGCTTATTCAGTAAGCTCTTAGGGAGAACTTTATGCAGAAAGCCAAAAAATTTCCAAACTTACCCCTTCCAATTAAAAAACACGCTCATTATTAAAGAAAAATCCCTCTCAATCTATATAGACCGATTAATCCATACAGTCAACTTTATATCTACAGGACTCAATAGAAAACCAACCAAACAACTCCTAGAGTTGATGCCATATAGAGCCACGGAACAGAACTTCATGGATTTAAGAAACTAATGTAATGGAGGCCTTGTTCTGCATACCTCAAGTCTACTCTTAGGGGACGTTTACCAACACAAATTGGGTAAGTGCTAATTGGGTAAGAGGTTTTACCAAGTGTTCAATAGTAAGCCTTTACCGATAAAATACCTTTATCATCTTGTGTTGATCCGACAAGCTAAATAATAATGCTGACTGGGCAGGTGCTCGGTTAACATCATCAGTCAGAGAGTCTTTAGGTAAACTAGCTAATGCTGACCGAAATAAACCAGTTAACAGTAGGTAAATAGGCCCTTAATCACTGTACCTGCTTTTTCTTTTTCTGCTGCTTACTGTTAATAGTCTTAAGGGGTTGTTTAGTTGGTTTTCCATTAAGTCCTGTATGAATAAAGTTGTCTGGGTAGATTAATCTGTCTGTATAGAAAGCTTCAAAAAAGGTCAAAATTTTGCAGATGCAAGTGTTCTAAGGTGACTCTTGTGCATATTCACTCGTTACTAGCTTTGTAGGTCGTTGGCTCAAAGACGAGACGCGTACCTTTAAAAGCATATGATTTCTTCTGTATTGGAGATGGTGCATCTTCTGAGTAAAATGCATCAAGAACTGAGACAGGACTTGGTTGTTCGATGGTGGGCATCGCAAGTTCCGCCATTGGCTTATATTCAATCAACCTTTCTGCATATTTATTCTGGAAAGGAAAAGATGAAACATGTTAGAAAGTTATGTTCTGAACTAATATAACCTTACATAGTGATAAAAGGGGAAAAAGTAATTTGTGGAATTGCACGCAATATGTAGCGTTTGCGGAAATAGACACTCTACCCTTTAGGATAAAGGCAAGTTCTGTGTACATCCTACCCCTCAGATGACCCTATATGTAAATGTGTGTGTGTGTGTGTATATATATAGAGAGAGAGAGGGGCAAGTTTCAAATGAGAACCATCCATATTTTGAGAACCTGGGAACCAACTATTTCATGTATTATTCATGATGAATAACCTTGCATAATCATGAATATCATGTATTTTCATAATGAATAATTTTCGTCATGAATACCTATCACGACATTCGTCATGAATTAAAGCATGAATGGTTGGTTTTCAGGTTCTCAAAGTATTTACCATTTTCATTTTGAACCTGGTCAGGTTATTGAGAAAACTGCAAAAAACTGAAAAACTAAGAACACCAAGATAACTATTTATCTGGATAGTATGCACATGTGGATGTAAGTTATTTGTCCGATATGCCTATGTGCATAACATGCACACGTGCATAAAAACCAAGAAACAACTTCATTTACTTGTATGCACATGTGCATACCATCCAGATAAATAGTTACCCTGGATAGTTACCAGGGTGTTCCTCAATTTTTCATTTTTTTTGGGGTTTTCCCCTAAACCTCCCTCTATATAATGTAAGTCTATTCACTAACCTTGTGGTTTCCCCTTGGCTGATAAACACTATTGTTCTCCCCTGTCCAGTCCGTGCTCGTGACTTCTATCTCATTCTGTGAGGTTACACTAGTATCACTTTCCGATGGAAAGGAACCCGCATCACCTTGTTGAGTTAAATCTCTTGTGTCACTTCTGTACCCACATTGCTCATCGGTTTGCAATCGGATAATGGACCTTGTCTTCGAGTTTCTGGTGTTCGACTCTGATACAGTTAGCCGCCCATTCGATGATTGCCCACAAATGGATTGCTTGTGGATGCCATTCTTTGATCTCTGCAGTCTCGGGCTCACGGTTCCTGAATTTCTAGAATTCCAATAGTTTTGTGCAGCCGGGTATTCTGGTGCTTTTGAAGGCGACGTAGATTTTCTAGTCCTAACGGTTGCTTTTGTTTCGATAGGAGTCGTGTTTCTAGTGCTTCGCCTGCTGGTTCTATCACCCGTATGGTTGACTTTCTTGACCCTTTGGAGACTTGTGATCACCATGGAATCTGAAGCTAGATTAGCAGGCTTTATGGTGGTGGTTCGGATTTTATTGATGGTGGGGTAAACGGGTTGGAGATTTTTCCGGTTCGGCCTCTGATCGGAGCTGATATCATCAAAATCTTGATCTTTCTTCTCTAACTTCATCTTTGTTCTTTGTATTGCTTCAAGAATCTGCTTAAGGGCTCTTAGATCTTTGCCTGAAGTGTTGAACTCCACTTCAGTCAACCTTTTCTCAATCTCACCATAAACAGAATGGCAGCCATGGTCAACCCTCTGAGCTTTCTTGTTCTTGACTGGTTGTTTCTGGCCACCTTCCTGCTTCCATGGAGCTGGTTCTAGTGGAATTCTTGCAACTGCTTTACCAATTACAATTCCCTTTTGAGGTGAAGAAACAGAAATGTTGTGTTTAAATTCCTCACTTTTTCTTGATCTCAAAAGTGAAATCATTTCGTCATCTTCTCGATCGATGAAATCGTGTAAAACCTCCAGACCCATCAACCGAGCCACGACACTTGATGGTGGTCGCTTGTTGCTTCCCGGCTCGTGGGTCTGGTCCACGGTTTGGGTGATCTTGGGTTCACCACCACCCCCGCCGTGACCGTGAGCTTCTCTAGTCATCAAGATTCTTCGTGATTCATTTTCACGTTTCCTGATAGAACTTTGCTTGCTATCTAATGATAGCCTCGGAAGCTCCTTAATGGATATTAATTTATACGGTGATTCCCTTCCGTCACACGAAAACCGTGAAATCTCCTTCACTTCTTTAACTCCCCTCGAAATTTCCCGAAGCCTAGCAAGATTCTGGTCTTTTCTGTCGTATGAAACGGGTTTCAAGTGCTGTTGTTGTAAAGGCCTCGGGGAATCGACATGTGTCATGGCGGGACCCTTTCGTTCGTTTTTTTTCACGGTTTTAACGGGTACCACTCGAGGCTTTCTAGTCATCGAGTCTTTAACTACATCTCTGATATCAGCTGGCTGTACTGATGAATCTGGTTGTTTTCTTGACGTTGGAGACGATGGTTCAGAGACGAGGCTCGGGCAAAACGAAGATTGTTCTGTTTGAACTCTTTTACTACAATCTAAAGATGAACAAGAAGAAGAAAACGAGTTTCTCGATGATTCAACAGATACTCTGTGTTTCTCTTTCACCACCTTAGTTGCGGTTTTCTGGTTCTCCTGTAAGTAAAGTATTCGAAAGTTTCGCATTAGAAATGTTTTCCCTTTTTTCAGATTATGAATGTATGATTCCAAATGGTGGTTTTACCTTAGGTTTCTCTGAGGCATTATTGAACTCCTTATTGCCATCCTCAATTTGGCCTTGGCCTTGGCCTGAACAATAGTTTAGAAGTATTTTAGATACCGAAAACTATAACATAAATCATTTATATACACTTAAGGACTAATGAATACCCTGGTTTCTGTACAATATGCACATGTGCGTACAAGTAATTGAAGTTGTTTCTTGGTTTCTATGCATGTGTGCATACCGGACAAATTACAGATGAGTGGTTACCAGGGTGTTCCTCGGTTTTTCATTTTTTGCGGTTTCCCCTGTACCTAACCCTACGTGACTATATGCATATAACCAAACAAACTTAGTATATCTCACTCGTCACTATATGTATAAGGTTTGCAAATAGTGATAGTAGTTGTTCATGTAAAATCAAGAAGAAATGGTGGACAACCTTCTAGTTACCGTCTCTCTTAAGAATCTTCTTTAGTCAAAACATTTCACTACCTTATAAGTTTCTAGTTACATCTAGAATCGTAGAGATATACATGTTGCCAAACGACAACAAAAGCTAAAGTATGTGTACATCCTACCCTTCCCAAACCCTGGGACATACAGGGTTCGTCTAGTTTGGTTTTTAGTCAACAATTTGCAGATTCACGAAGAAAACCTCTTTATTCCTCAAGGTAGAGGTAAGGTATGCGTACATCCTGCCCTCCCTAGACCCGTCCATTGTGGGATACAATGGGTTCGTTTGGTCTGGTGTTTAGTCAGCAAATTCACGAAAACAACCTCTATTCCTTTCAAGGTATGTAGAGGTAAAGTTTGTGCACATCCCCAACCTCCCCAGATCTTTGAGATATACCGGGTTCGTTTGGTTTGACTTTTAGGGCGTGTTTGTTAGTAGCTTAATGAGACTCGCAGCTTATTCGGATTGTTTGGTAGTGGTTTAATGATTTAGAAAATTGATTATCCAATAAGCTTCTAAAGGGAAGCTTTATGCAGAAAGCCAAGTTTTTTTTTTCTCCCAAACTTGCCCTTCCCAATTAAAAAACACGCTTATGAAAAAACCCTTCTAACCAAAAACTTTCCCGATTAATTCACACAGACACCTTTATCCAAATACACAACTCAACAGAAAACCAATCAAACAGCCCCACGAAAACGGCTACAGTGTCGTCTTCCCCAGAAACACAAACACACACAAATCTCGAGTTTAATGTGGTACCTTGAGGTAGATGCTTCTGGCGGCGTTTACCAAGTAGGTAACGCCGATCGAAAAGCTGAAAAATGCCATTCATACATCCTAATTGCTTCTGTATCTCTTGTTTATCTTCTTCCCTTTGGCTGTACATAACCTTACTAGACATTTTTTCTCCACCACACACCACTGCTTTCTCTGTTTCTATTCCAGTGCTGCAAAAAAAAACAAAGCTAGATGCTTTCTTGATTAGAAACCTCCAAGAATCAGCAATTTGCCATTTTTCTCCACTATTCTAGGTTTCCTCTAGGAGTGAATACTGCTGTAAAGCAAACTCTGCACAGAGAATGTGCAGAACCCAACTGAGTATTTATTTATTCTGTTTCTTGGGTATTTGTCTGAATCACAGCAGGAAGAATTGAATGCTGCTGTTTCTGGGCTCAAAAGATTTCTAGAGGTTTAGAATTGGGATTTGATGTGATTACTTAATGTGGGATTTGGATTGGTGGCAGATTTTAGGACTCAAGAAAGCAGGATTGGCATTATATACATATCACAATCTTTGAGGGGTGGGGGTGGGGGTGGGGGTGGGTCAGATCTGCACTGGCCTTCCACTTCCATGTGGACAAAATAATGTAGGTGGGGTCTAGAGTCTGGGTCTCTTCATGTGGAGATTGTCAGGTGATACAAGTTATGCAAAAAGTGCATGTTTTTAGTGAAACTAATTTCTTTTCAATATCCTTCTAATCTTTTTTTAATTCAAGAACTAAACAGAAAAGTGTAGGGATTTAATCATCTGTATGGTATACACATGTGCATATAAGTAATTACCTGCATAGAAACAACTATAGAGATCTATTTAATGAGAGCCAAGTTCTGGAAAAACTGAAAAAAAGATGAAAATTTGAGAAACACCCTAGTAACTATTCATCTGTATGTATGTATGTATGTATGTATGTACATAGAAACCAGGATATATCTTCAATTACTGGATCTTACTCAACATTTTTCTGGGGATTTACCTTTAAACCCCCTCTATTTGTTGAATTCAGATAATGTTTAGATATGTAAGAAATGTCTTTTAAGAAGATATAACATGACTTATTGACTGCTAACTTACTGTTAACTGAAGCTTTTTTGTTAACCATTCTTTTTCTCCTAATTTGACCAAACTACCCCTCATTTACTTAATTCTATAAAAAGGATTTCTTGTGCTGCTGGGCTGATCGGTAATTTAGTATTGTTGCTGAATATGTACTATTGAATGTGTAGTAAATGAATGTTTAGCATTAGGCAGCTGTGGTACTGCTGAAATAGACAAATGAGGAGAACGTACAATTTTTAATGCATGAGGTACAAATTATTACGTTCCCCCTTTTTTTAAAATAAGTGTTTATATTCCCATTTAAGTTTGTCTTAAAAGTACGTGTCTACTTTCTGATTCCTTTAATTATAAGATGAAGAAATTCTTTACTCTTTCCTATTTTTAACGGTATAACTGTTGTGACTTGGATTCAGGGGAACTCATAAGAAAAATGAGAAAGTGAGGAACACTCTATTTGTCCAATATGCATGCACATGTGCATAGAAACCTGGAAACATTTTCGGTTACTTTTATACACATGTGCATACCGAACAAATGAATGGTTATTAAAGCATTCCTTAGTTTTCACCTGAATCTAACGCTAATTATTATTTAGTTAATTAAAAAGTGTAATAATATACATTTTAAAACCATGTCTTTTTTATTATTTTATACTGGGAAAAGGAATTGGTGTCTTTATAAGTTAAGCTGGCTTAATCTCATATGACACTAAATGGATGGTTCCCCACTCCCTTTTCATGTCTCTTGCTTATCCATTGCACCTTCCTTTGCTTTTATTGTCATATCCTTTGGCACTCAACTTGTCATTGGCCCTTTATTTTTATTTTTTATTTATTATTTGACATAAACAACATATTTTTATAGAATTTGTTTTAGTTTTTCTTGTTTTTAACGTTTGTCGATCTTAGCTTTTCTACCTGCTCTAGTGTGTTCCTACTTTCTTTTCCGTTCATTGAACGTATATGTTTGCATATGAACGTAATTCTATGTTACTATGACATTTTACTAAAAGTAAATACATGATAAATACTCACACACGCTCTTCCCCCTTTGGTGAGCTTTGAACCTTTGACCCCCTGAGAGAGAATATTGTTGGACCAGTGACCCTTTGGTTACTGTGCTGCTTTTCTCACAGTTGTCTTAGTATTTATTTTTAGCTAGGGTCTTCACCCAACCTCTCTACCCTTTACGACAAAGACAGTATTTGCATGCGTCTTACCCTTCAGACCGTACTTCTGTATAAGAATAGGATACAATAGATTCGTTTGATTTAGTTTAAGCCATTTTGTGAATTCTGTAAAAGTATGCACATCTAGGATGGTCCCCACTTATGAAGTACATGGCTAAAGCACAATTCACATCCCCTCTCCATGATAAAATAATGTTTTAAGACATGTATGATGTATTTATACAGTTATAACGTAATATAATTAACTGTTAAACCAAATTTTATTCAAAACCCGTTAATCTTAGTTTCAGCCTGCTCTTGTAGTTATTGGCATTGTTTGCACTTTACGATTCCATGTTTGTTTTATCTTATATCCCTTGCAGGTCCCTACTTTCTTTTCCGTTCATTAAACCTCTATGTTACTATGATAATTTTTTAAAGTGTATAATATTTATATACATCAAATACTTAAACATGTTTTTCACCTTTCGTGAGGTTTGTCCATTGACCTCTCGAAGAGAGATTGGGCTCTATTGGTACCAAATATCGTTGGGTTAATGACCTTTTGGCTTCTATGTTGCTTTAAAAGGGCTGTTTGGTTGGTTTTTCACTTACTCTTGTATGGATAAAGTTGCCTATGTGGATTAAGTTGTCTGTATAGATGAAAGGGGCGTGTTTTTCAATTGAGGGGACAGATTTGGAAAAAAAAATTGGCTTTCCACACAAAGCTCCTCCTAGAAACTTACTAAATAAGTCACCTTCTATATCATTAAGCCAAGTACCAGATAGTCATGTATGGCTGACTAAATAAGTTGTGAATCTCATTAAGCTTATTAAGCTGCTACCAAACAGAACAGGCTCTTTCTCACATTTCTCTTTGTATTATTCTTTTTCTTTGTTTTGCAAGTCAGGGGTACTTAAGAAAACAACTTCTCTACCGTTTACGATAGAGACAAGATCTGCATACATCTTATCCTCCATACATTAGGTATAGGATACAGTAGATTCATCTGATTTGGTTTAGCCAATTTATAAATTCTTTAAAAATTGCACATCTAGGATGGTCCCCTCTTATGAAGTACATGCCTAAAGCACTATACACATCCCTACCCGCAATCTTAACAGTATTCACCATAACAACGTTTTAAGACATGTACTTATATAGTTATATTATTCACTACCACCTAAATCTAACGTCATTAAACAACCGTTAAGACCAAATTTCATTCAAAACCCGTTACACAAAATCCTACCCTTTATCATCTCAGTGCATTTTTTTCTCACGAAAACAATTACTCCCAGACCCCACCTCCGAATAAATATCTTGAATTACATGTCATGGTATACACAAGTTGTATATTTTAATAATTTAGCAAAAAATGAGGTTCAAAGTTTGTATGGAGGGTAGGGTGGTTGATTGTGATGGTTGGGTCATGGGTGCATGATCACGTGATGGAAGGGGATAAGTCACGTGAGGGCTGCCTACCTTAGTTCTCAGACCAATTATTAGTATCCATCACCATCAATCAAACATCATTGATATACTATGTTCCAAGAAGGTAGAACCCCATTTGTATACCATTATAGCCACATCATGACCACCCACTAAATCACCATGTGCAATCAACACATTCTTTAACTAATACTACTTGTTTAGCAATTGATAAACATAACACATCCAAGAAAATTAGCAAGATTCTTTCATAGAAAACAAGTGGGAAAAAAAACCCTGATTTGAAACGGTCAATAACTTCAGATATGTTGAAAGTTACAGATTTACAGTGGTTTGCCCTGATTTTCGGTCCAAGATTCGTCGTTTGGAGCTCCGAATTTGAAGGGTTCTTTTTTGCCATTTTGGGTTAAATCTGAGAGAGCATGAGTCAGCATTTTCTTGATTTTTTGAAGTATATAATGTTTATACATGGCAAATTCTCATGTACACTTGTTACATCTAAACCCTCGACGTTCTTGAAGGTTGGCTTGTACACGTAGCCCGAATACCCTTTGGACAATAACCCTTTGGTGCATTTTCTGATATATTTTTTTTCACCGTCTTTATTTAGGCAAGTTCTTGAGTTTCGTAATATTTGACCATCAGCTAAAAATAGATAAAGGGTTGAATTTTGTGAATCCGAAGGTATATTATTGAATAGTAATATAATTTCTCTCATGGCGTGTAACACATTGTGTGTCTGTGTGTTTATTTTTCGCTTATACAAAAATTATATCTATTTGTTAAAATTTGTGGGTAATTTGGTAATTTCACCCCTCTTAGACATACAACTGGCATTTGGTACTAATAGACCATTTCACAAAAAGAGCCCTATTGAAAGATACATTGAAATAGGGGACATATATAGCAACCATCAAATTTACATCTAAAATAGAAAGAAGAAGAAAACTTATAAGTTGCTATATGCCCCCTTTCTTCATGATAAAAGTATCAATTTTATGGTTTGATGTATTTTATGTAGGGGCGGACCTACAAAGGAGTCGGGGGTCGCATCAACTGATTTTTGTAAGTAGAATTTTTTTTAAAGATATGTAAGGCAAGTGAAATCAGCTAAAAACTCGAAAAAGTTCCTCGAAATCAACAAAAATCTGGAAAAAAGAATCAATCAAAAAGGTGGAATTCGGCTGAAAACACATCAAACTTACGACTAAGACGTAGTCTTGCGTCTTTTTCTCAATTCCATACTTTACACTTCTATGATTCACGTTAAAGATACACATACACCCGCCTGACAAATAAAACCAGCAGACGTTTACCAAAACCATGACTTTACGGTTCTTTAATCCACCTTAAAAATACATCCCATCTGACAATTACTTTAGGCCCACCTCCAAATCTCATAGATTTCCACATTCTTTTAGGGTTTCAAGATTATGTGAACCATAAAGAAAGATGGTTAGGAAAACCATGTTACAAGCATTAAACTAATGTGATGTGTAGGTCAAGATTCCTTCACAAACCCTTTTCAAATCACATGAAAAAGGGCATAAAAGTTGTCTAGATCTAGACTTGGATGGTAAGCTAGAACCCCAATTTGGCTTAATATAATAAGCTCATTTTGTAGATTCAAAGCATTAAGAAGATG